GGAACACTGTATCGGGATCCTCAAGAAGGAGAGCCTGGCGTGCAAACTATCCCTCTGACCAAGATTGTCTGCGGACCCTCAGAGTCTCAGCTGGTCATGCTTCAACTGGAATAGTGTGTACTTTCAAGTGCCCCCCAGCACACACACACACACACACACACACACACACACACACAGACCAATAATAATTTCCCTGCCTTTCTCTCCTTTCTGTAGCCCGGCTCAGTTTAATGAGCGTGTCTCTCAGATCTGCCTCCCTCCTGAGCGCTACATTGTAGCTGAGGGGACGTCTTGTGAGATCGCAGGATGGGGTGAGACTAGAGGCAAGTAAAATCCTTTGGAGATGATAACTTGACACTGAATTAACTACATGCTGTGCTTCATTCAACTACAATATGCTTCAATTGCAGTAATTGATAATAGATGACTTCCTTCGAACAAGCATCTTGTTTCTGTCCTTGGAGTAATGTTGCATCTAAATGAGAAAACTATTCAGACGATTGAGCAACAGATGGCATAGATATTTCTAGAACCAGTCAACATCTGTTCACCTTCCTTTTCCTTTTTCTCTTTGTCCCTAAACACATTGGCTGCTAACTCATTCCTCCTTCTTGCTGTTTTTAAAGGGACTGGAGATGAGACTGTCCTCAATGTAGCCTACATACCAGTTCTCAGTAACAAGGACTGCAACAAATACTTCAGAGGTCGTGTTCGTGAGAATGAGATGTGCACCGGCTCTTTCCAGGGCGGGGTGGGCGCTTGTGAGGTAGGTGTCCATGAAAAGTGAGCACAGCATTAAAGCTTTACTGCCCATTTTAGATGTATTTGTTTACCCTGGAGCAGCAGCAGAGTTACTTCAGTCACTATTTTCTTTTCTTTCTTTTTTTTTTGACAACTTTTTATTGGTGGAAGTGGGACAGGTATTATCCAGCTACTGTACATTCTCTGTACCTTGAATATCTTAAGTAATTCAATACTTTTTTTTACAGTGTTTTTGGGGTCATTCCTCGTTTAAGTTACATATTCTGTAAATTCACTGGATTTGTCTTAAAGTTATATTTTACATATATTTACATATCGCCAGATTTTACTTTACTTTAACTAAAAACACCAGAACTCAAGAAGCTAGAGGGGGAAAAAAGACAAGAAAGAAAAGGTGAAAGAACCCAAATAAATTAATAAACAAACCAAAACCAAACAACAACACAAGAGAAGGAACGAAACCTTTTATTGTTGCCTTTTGCTTTTATTAGGTTACAGAAGAGATGCATTGTGGGCAATATGGTATATGTCTTAACAACTAAGTCACCATGACACATAAGACCATTTTTTTGACTTTTATTGCAGTGTGTAATGGCATTGAAAGGAATAGTCTGACATTTTGAAAAATACACTCATAGTTTTCTTGTTGAGAGTTCGATGAGAAGATCAACACACAATCTATACCTACTAACACCTGTATGGCTAACTAATTAACACATTATATCTTGTTTGTTTTTTTACCTCTAGACAGAGCCAAGCTAGCTGGTTCCCCCACTTTCCAGTTTTTATGCTAAGCTAACCGGCTACTGGATGTAGCTTTAAAGTGAATATGCGAGTTCCCCAAAATGTCAAAACTATTCCTTTCAATGAACAAGCATAACATTGTTTGATGAGAATTAATGCTTCAAATACTGACGGTGAATAAAATCTTTTGATGATGAAAATCACTTGAAGTAAAGAGCATACAGCTATTTATATGTTCCTATAAATTAAACACATTCACCATTTGGATAATGGAGGAGGACTGGACAAGATGTGACTGCAAGATGTTTCCGACCTTAGCAGTGACAGTCAGTCATAACAGAGACAAATAATGACTCCAGAGTGTTGTTCCTGTGTGTCTGCAGAGAGACTATGGCGGCCCTCTGGCGTGTCAGAACAGCGACTGCTGGGTACTTGAGGGTGTGATCATCCCCATGAGGCGCTGTGGACACCCGGGGCAGCCCAACATCTTCATCCGTGTCTCTGTCTACGTTGACTGGATCAAGAAGGTCATGGAGATGACTTAGGATTAGAGACTGCCATCTAACAGGAACTGATCAAATCTGCTCAACCCTCAAGACCAGTTTTTCACTTAACCATATACATTTTTTCCTTCTCAGATGTCTCTTTAAAACATTAAAAAATGTGAATAATACATTAAGATGTATAGTCAGATTTTATTAGTTAAAACATTAAGGTAAAACATTACTACATCATAAAAAAAGAATCATTCATTCATGGGGAAAATGCAAAGACATGCAGAGTAATGTCTTACAGTATATTTTCTGCTTTAGATTAATTTATATATGCATTTACATTTAGTGAATCTTTACAGCCAGACTAACTGACTTCTGATGCATCAGTCAGGGCATTTAAACAATAAGCAGAAAACATCTATATTCCCAAAACATGATCAAGAACTCTGAGGTGCAAAACAATGCAGAGAAGATTATAATTAAGATCATATAAATGTAGTTCAGTTAAATTCTGTAAATTCCCCATTTAGCACTTATAAGCAATACATATACATTTAAACTATGATGTAGTTGTGAGCAGATATAAAGTATTGTTCCATGGTTATAACTTCTCCCATATTTTTTACATTATTTTATTGTGTTTTTACTATTTAGTCATTCATTATCTGTTTATACACCAGCCCCCACTTGCTGCGTGGCCACAGGAGGAGTTATATCCATTGACAAATATATTAATAAACACTGCTTGCAACTACTTTTTAGTGTGTTACAAACCATTTATCAAATAATATACTTCTTATAAATGCTAAACATTTGGACTTAAGGTTAAGCGTTGGAAATGTTTTGCTATTTATTCTCGATGAAATAAAAGGGATGCAGGGGCAACATCTAATTGTAGCCCCACAGGTTCAGAGAAGAACTGCCAATAACAGGGGAGGTGTGGGTGGTTTACAGCACACATTTTAAGTTCCTAACATCCCCTGGAAATGCACCCTTTACCACAAAACTGTACGCCTCCCGTCCTCTCCCTGGCATTGAATGGAGCTCCAAAATACCTTCTTTGCCCCCAGCCTCTAAAGAAATCCCTCCTCTGCCTGTCTTTTGATGCCTGCCCCCACCTCTAAAGACATGCCTTTGTGCCTTATGCAGAACTGTATGCGCTGCACATTCTTTCTAGTTCTATAGGAGGATTTTTGTAACCCGGTCCTGATGAGCCCACGGAATTCAGCTTAAATAAACCTCAAGATCAGAGTCCGACCGAATCTCAGACACACCAGCCTGCAGAGGACCACTGAACTCACACATATACACGCACACAATTCTCTCGCATGCTAACCCTCCCCCCTCTGCCTTATCCCCCATTCTATCTGTCTGTTTTCTGTCGCTTCGAAATTTTCACATTTTTTTCCTATTTTCCTAGAACTATTAGGAATGAGGTGTAGATGATGTTCCCTTTAACTAATGATGCCAATTATCCTCCTGCTGCACACAGCATTTGGAAATGGCAGGTTGACAGTTATGATTTCATCATCATTATGTTCACTTTCATTGAGTAATATTAATAGTGGATGACTAATCAGATTCAAATATGACAGCAGTTCTCACCAACTGTTAAAGCTTCTGGGAAACCTGAATACATTTTAAATAAATGCTTCCACAGAATTATGCCAACAGTTTCTTTTTTTATTTTGTTTTATGCCTTTTAGGGTGAATGACATAAACATTTTGTATGTTTGAATTCAACATGTGATTATGATTTTTTTTTAGTTTTTAATGGAATAGTCAGATTTCAAAGGGTATTTAATCAGTAAACTTCTGAATAACATCATTTAACCTAAACTATAAAGAATTAAAATGGAGCCCTGTGCTTTATCTTTGTAACTTAAAGCTTTATATTTTGGTCTCATGCCAGCACGCTCACCTTACATGACTCCATGCAGCCGCCCCTGGAATGTGTATTTACTGTGGTTCAATCATGTCGGTCTGTGTTTATCAGTTTGTGCAAATTTACAAAGTTACCTCTTGAAAATCAAGAAGGCACGTTAAAAAAAAAAGAGATTTTTAAATCTTCACAAAAATATTCAACATAAACTACGATGGGAATATTTCTTTCCAAAAATACTACATGTCCACCCAGGGAGGATGAGATTTTCCAGTTTTTATTTCATAAAATAAAGAGAGAATAACTCAAGATAAGATTAGAGGAATAAAGAACTAGAGTGTCTAATAAAAACACTTTACATGTTCTACGTAAGAAACTTAAAAGGGAAATGTTGTTCTTTTACTACTCACTTCTAATGTATGCGTGATTAAAAATGCGTGATTAAATGAACCAAACTGGGGTCAATTCCTCCCCAAAAGCAAACGCTCATCCGCAGACTTTCTTCTTAGAAACCCCAAATGTCTGTCCTTTGTTATGACTTACAGAGTGATATCTCTCACACTGTGGGTGGGGAGACAGAGAGAGAATGAAACTTGTGCTCGAAACTGTCTAGACAGACTGATCTCACCAGAATTTCTACTAAACCTATTTCTCTCGTCTGTGGGGAACTTCCCAGCCCCCGGATCCCACTTTGGGAACCCCGGAACCAGACCCTACCCTCCCGTCTGATGCCCGTCTCTCTCCCTTTCCTTCTCTCGAGTGGGTGGTCCCGGTGAGCTTTTCGGGGCGGGGTCCTCTGTTTCAACCCTCCTACCCTCGTTCCCTCTTGAAACATGCTTTAATAGAGAAAGTATGCAATGCATACTGCTCAGCTACAACCCCCCCCCCAATTATACTGCAACTGGGGTATTCGTGACTGGACGTCTGGGGGGGATCACACACATTTCCGATTAGAGGAGGAGAGAGAGAGAGAGAGAGAGAGAGAGAGAGAGAGAGAGAGAGAGAG